GAGAGAGAGAGAGAGAGAGAGAGAGAGAGAGAGAGAGAGAGAGACACACACACAGAGTGTGTGCGAGTAAAACTTAATACGAGTATTATTTTATGTGTAACATATCATTGTAAACTGTTAAAATACAATATTTTAATAAAAACTGTTTTATAATATATCGAGACAGTGTGTGTATGGAGGAGTATTTAGAGAGTTAGTACAATAGTTTAATACCGTTTTATCGTATCCGTTTCATAGTTCATATTGACGTTGTCTCTTATGAACATATTGTCCTCGCTCTCTAAATACTCCTCTGTACACTGTCTACAATGTATCGCCCTTTGCACGCGAACTACTTCCCGTTTGCATCGTACACAACACATTTTGATCTTCCACGGTATTCTGTAGAGTCGCGAGGTAATTGAGTGGTATTCCGTTTTCCTGACGTAAGAGTTTGCCCCTACGACTGGTCGTGCAAAGTAACACTCCTCGCACATCTTGTGCCACGGGTATACCCGTGATACGTAGATCGCTCCGCCGACCGATTGCATTAAACAGCTGCACCGCAGGAGTAAGTGATAACGATCCTCGTGATCCTGCGGGCGCGCTCCGTCGATCGGTCCGTCGCTTTCCGTCGGAGGTTACATCGCTGTGTGTACGGTAGGGCTGGAGAAAACGGAGGGCGAATTAGCCTTTTTTTTAAACCCGGTGGAAATCCTTTATGGATCATCACCCCTCTACCTGCTGGGACAGGGAGGGGTGGTATGTGGGACTGACCTCCCCGGCACTTGGGCGTTTTGATTCGCCCAAGGCCGGTAGTGCAACGGAGGCCTATACCGCACTAAAACCACCGGGCGTGGACTTCTCGGCGCTAACTGGGGCTGCCTGGGAATCGCTAGAGCATCACTGCCAGGCAGCCCCGCGCAGGGCGAATTAGCCTACGTTAATCGGATCGAAGTAAAAGTATCGCAGTTGAGAAAAAAAACTTGCCTACCTCAAAACGTGTAATACACTGAACTTCACTTTCGAGTTTTTTTTCACATTTACAGCACGACGATTAAATTCGTACTGACAATGGCGATGATGATGCGCGCGGAAGCTAAGCGACAGACGCAACCGCAACCGCAACTGCAAAGATAATCCGAGGATGGGGAAAGGCGATAATTAAAATATAACACACACACATGTAATAGTATATTGATATATTTTGCAAGTAAAATATGTTTCACAGTTAATCGGATATATATTTTGCAATTACAATGTGACACACAGTTAGCAGTATATAGATATATTTGCAATGAAAAAATATGAATAATAGATGTGTTTTTAGAAAAATGTGTCGTGAGCTGTTTCTCGTTCTATCCACCAATCGCGCAATTTGGTAACGTTCGTTATCGCGCAGTGATCGGTGTGGCGTCTGCATCGAAACGAAGTGTCCGCGTTCAAAAACACCAGACGGTCGATGTCATCGTAATCCGCGTCGATAGACTTGACATTGCGGGCGCATCCGTCGAGAATCTCCTAGAGCCACTTCTTCTTCTCGAGCCCTTTGACGTAGATCGTCGCATCGTCCGCCAATCCGTCACACGTGGCTCGTCGTATCATCTCTCTGGAGCGCGCGTATTGGACGTCTCCATCCTTCCAATGCAATCCGTGATGATTCGCCGTTAGCCAGCAAGCTTGAGATTTTTCGGATCTCGTTAATAGATCCCAGGCTATCGGTGCTTTAAAAACATGATGCGTTAACACATGTTTGTCTCGCAGCACGGCCACCTCCTTTACGATGAATTTTTCACGGAAGATGAAGCCTTGGAGGTCGACGAAGACAGGCACGTGTGACATTGTGCGTGGACGCAGTCTCTGTAGGTTTACGGTCTCGCAGCACGGCTACCCCCTTTACGATGAAGTTTTGTTTTTTCATGGACTACGAAGCCTTGGAGGTCGATGAAGACTGGCACGTTTGACAGTGCGCGGTGCGATCTGAACGACTTTTCCGTACCGTCGTGCGAGACGGCGTCTTTTTACATCGTTCTTCTTTGTCGAGGGACTGTACTCGATGACCCGGTTATAAATAGTATTTATACAATTTTGCGCACGACATTCGTCAGGGGACAGGACTCGATGATTCGGTCATGAATAATGAGACAATACGCTGTGGTGTCGGCCGGAACGTTTTCCTTACACTCGAACTCTACGCGAACGTCCACAGTGGCGCTTTACACCGCCTCGTTCTGACGAGAGCAATCGATCACCACGAATGGGCCGGATGTTAGGAATGATTTTACGTTTAGATACGCATCGTCGAGTTTTCGCCCATAGTACGATTTTTGAAATTTTGCATACATGTCGTACAGTACAGTAAATTTATTGTTATTTATATCAAGATTCATGTCGTCATAGGGATAAAAGTCTGAATTCAAATACAGTTTCACGTTGGTGAGCTTGCAATGATCGAAGGTTGAGGAATCGCTTGTCAAAACGTTTCTTCTTCCTGTCTGTAGGGCAAAGATAACGTATCGCGGTTTCTCTAGTTGCGCCGCAGTTTTACGGCCCACGAGTGCTTGGTCGTGCTCTGCAACAATGGACATTCGTACAGATCCTACGAGCGAAATCCGACGCTTAAAAACCGTCCGCTCTCCAGCGTTCGTAGAAGCGACAATTTGTTAACATCGTTCAAAACAATGTGCGGCATTCGCCATTGCACCCTCGAAAGAACGATTTTAGGATTTTTAGCACTTTCTTTCGCCACGATGCAATTGGTATCGTTGCGCGCGCGTATCAAAATAAGTTCGTGTCGAACGTTCACCACTACGCGTTTGCAGTCCTCGCAAAAGCCCAATAATATCTTCAAGGGGACACAGGCTGAAGGAACCGCTGTCGGAAACGTTTGGCTCACCCCACCCGGCGTTCTGCAATATATCGAGCTCGCGCGGGGTCAACGAAACGGAATTCTTAATCGTATTGGTTATTCCAATGTTGCGATTTCTATCGATCTCTACGCCATTGAGTTCGTAACGTATCTCCTCGAACATGAAGGCGACGCAGTTGCTCGCAAGTTTTGAATTCTGATTCGTCGTCGTTGATGCCTCATCGGACAATTTTCCCTCCTCGTATAGAGCGCTTTCGCACGGTAGAGTGTACAGATCCTGCTGCTGTATGGGTATTCGTACTTCATCGCTGTATCCGAACGTTGCATTGGCGTAGGGGTTGTACGCGTGAGTTTCGATCTTGACGATGCGCTCGTCGAAAATCGGCTCACCTCCGATGCTCAGTATATCGACCACCATAATTCTTGTTTCTCACAATGAAACCGAGCGATCGCAGGAACGCGACGTTCGCGGCGCTCAATTGATTTCCGTTCCCTCCTCCTCCACCTCCTCCTCTTCTTCTGTCAACGTACGGAACAGACTCGTTTTTCACGCGCGAATCACCAACAACGAGCATATCTCACGCTATGCGTTCTCTCACGTGCAATCGTATCGTTATCTTCTCCCCGCGAAAATCAATTGGATGACCGTTTTGATCCATCACTCGCAATGTTATATCGGTCACGCTCCTCACGATGACCGGTAGATAAATGATCTGCGTCGGCGTTTCCGACATTTTATATCCCGGCGGATCATTCGGCACGAATTCGTGTATCGCGTGTACCGGTTTGTCGTTGCTGTAAGCCCCCGCGGTAATGTTGCATTCCACACGTACGACGTTGACGCTCATGATAATTATCGGTTGGTCCGACACGTACCATTTGTTCGGTTCCAATACACGCGTTGTCGAGAAACCCAATAAGGAGCCAATATTCGGTTATATAATAATAATTGTTCGGTTTTGTAAAATTTACTCTATACGCGCATTTTATCTCGGTCCTCATGGTATTTTTATTGGCGCGAAGAACGATAGCATATTGGTTTTCCCTTTCCTTGTCGTCGTCGTCGACGTTGTCGTACAAGCGATACTCGTTGAGATCTTCATCGTCATCCTTTGACTTTTCCAGCCGTCGTCGTCGTCGTCTCTCGATAATCGCGGCCTTGAGATACCGTTCGATTGCGCGCAATTCGTACGAACCTTCGGGAATGACGATCGGTTCGTCGTTCTCTCCGAAATAGAATGTATCGTTCGTCGAATTGACGTTCGGTATCGTGTTGTAGGTCTCAAAATTTGGAAGGCCCACTCGTATTCACCGTCACTGAGATCGAGAGCGGGAAAATAGCTCGCGACGAGAACGCCGCTCGTTCCCGTCAGCGTGAGCGTCAGCGACATAACGGTCGAGAGTCGACTGAGGTGTATCTCGAATGGGTTTATAGTTTTTTGTTTTTTCGTCCAATCGAATTCGTAAAGAAACCGCAGGCACAATTGACCGCAGAAAGTTTGACTGAACGTTTGATACGGCTGATGATTGTACGTTATGTTGACGTCCTCTCGATAGCGCGCGAGTTCTCGCGGAGGTCGAAGATTTCCAAAACTGTCAAAGTACACAGCATCATTCGCTTTTTTCGCATATGCAACCCAATGCGTACCCGGACCCACCTTGTTATCGAGATTCACGATGCCGCACTCCTCACGTCGCGCTTTCACGGGTAAATCATCACGCATAAACACCCCTCTAAAGTGAGGTATGCGTAGTTTACGCGCCGCTCGACTCAATTGTCCGCTCGTCGTGACGTACATCGTCATACATCGGTAAATCGAGGAGTGGCCTTCACTTGGACACAGTACAAGTGGACACTGTGCAAATGGACACGGCGCAAATAGACACGGAATATTGCACACGGTTCATTAGCACACAGGAATTTTGGACACATAAAAGTTGCACACCGTAAAGTTGAACACGGTGCAAATGGACACCGTTCTTTTGAAAAGTTGCAGACTATAATGTTGGACACGGCGCAAGTGGACACCGCTCATTTGCACACAGTGAAAGTTGCACACCGAAAAGTTGGACATAGCACAAGTGGACACCGCTCATTTGCACACGGTAAAAGTTGCACACCGAAAAGTGGACACGGTGCAAGTGGACACCGCTCACTTGCACACTGTAAAAGTTACACGCCGAAAAGTTGGACACGGCTCAAGTGGATACCATTCATAATTAAAAAATGGTAAGTTTACAGGATCGTGTATTTTAAAGCAGAGAATATATTTATTTATGAGAGAATATATGTATTTTAAAGCAGAGGATA